TATTTACTAAAGCTGGAGAGTGCAAAATCAGACTCACTTCTGCATAGAAACCAATCAGCTTCCAGGTTTCATTGCCAAAGCTTCATTGAACAAGCTGAGGTTAGAAGCTGATTGGTTTCTATGCAGAAGGGAGTATGATTTTGGACTCTCCAGCTTTAGTAAATAAACCCCCAAGTGTCCACTTTAGAAGATGCCCCCTCTGTTCTAGTAACAACCCAACATTTTGGATTTTTCCCTCACTTTTTGTCCTGGTGACAATGGACCCTAGATTTGAGAAAGGAGTCCTCTATAAAATATTGTTGAGCAAAACTAATTGGTGGTGCACAAATGTTTTCAGAATGCGCCCAGTTGCCATACAGTACATACTCCATTAGAGATTGAACAGGAAAGGTATTTGATTGCCTGCATTTCTTAAAAGAATCCATACTAGTAACCTTTTTTGTTATCTCAATGAGATTTTATTGAAAAATGATGCACATAAAACATTTACAGGTTCCAGAGTAAGTACAACATGTACATAAAGTAGGGAGTTCCACCATACATCGAATCAATATCAATAGGACCATTTTAGCATTTTTGGCACTATGCTATGCATCCTCAATTGGAGCTGAGGATAGCATAACATCAACAACATATACACACACGGGATATAGCAAAGTAATTCGTTCACAATATCCTATCCAAAATTAAATCTACCGGGGACAACCCCAGAGTGTCCAACAATGGGGACTATAAAGTATTAAATTAATAGGACACCCCCTAAGTTGGTAAATGTATTTTTCAAGACAACATATTCCCCATTTGATTTATCCACTCTTTTAGTGAGGGCGGGTCAGCTGACTTCCAGTGTCTCAGAATTAATTTGTGGGCTTGAAAAAGAGCCCTAGCAATTTTCTGTTTAGATAGGTCCTCCACCTAAAGATCAGGCAGAATGTCTAAAAGGCATTACTTAGGGTCCTCAATAAGTTTAAGCTGGAATACCTTGTTAAGGGTATTAATGACTCCCACCAAATAAAGGTGTAGTTTGGGGCATCTCCACTGAAGAAAGTTGAGGAAAAACGTCCTGCTTCTTTGATTGCTGCTGGAGGAGAACTATATAAAAGTTTGACCTAGGATAAGTATTTGTCACCAAAGCCCACTTATGGGCTGTCCATAGTAGCCCATAAGTACTGCCATTCAATTATTTCAAAAGCCTTATGGGCATCTAATGACAGCAATGCTCTGTCCCCCATATTGTCCAAACTGTATGTTAAGAAATAGTCTGCATAAGTTAATTGCTGTAGACTTTTGGGGTATGAACCCTGATTGGTCAGAATGTATAATTGAGGTGATAAGTTTTTTTAATCTCAAAGCCAATACTTTTGCTAGAATGTTTTTGTCGTTTTTTCAAAAGGGATATAGGTCTGTACAGACACAGTTCTAGGGGATCTTTGCCTGGTTTCAAAAGTAATATGATATTGGCTTTAGACATAGAGGCACTGTTGCTTCCTAGCAATATTAAACACTTCAAATAAATGCAGCAAGATGACATACCCATAATGCTTATACAATATACAGTACCTCCACAGAAAGGCCATCATCCCCTGGGGATTTGGAATTCGGGAACAAACTGGTCACCAATTGCAATTCTTCTAGGTTTAATGGGGAATCCAATAACTTTCTATGGGAAGCCAAAAGGAGAGGTAAATCTATTCTTTGTAGGAAGGCCAGCAGAGATTCCAAAGAGCATTGTTGTTTGGATTGATACAAATCAGAATAAAATGCTACAAGCTCATCCATGATTAGCTCTGTAGAACTTATTGCAACCCCATTGATCCCTATAGACAAGGAGGCTTGGTGGGACTGTATGGTTTTAGCTAAAAGTTTACTCTCCCTCCTCATCAGGGGTGGACTGACAACTCATGGGGCCCCCGGGCAATAGGGGATCATGGGGCCCCTGTGTCCTTGCCCAAACTCAAAAAAGCCTATGAAAAAGGTACCAGGGGCATCTAATGGGGCCCCCTACTGACCCTGGGCCCTCGAGCAGTGCCCGAGTTTCCAAATGGTCAGTCCACCCCTGTTCCTAATAGAAGACCAGTTTATTAAAAAACACTTTGTATCAGCAGCAGAGTTATCAATACAGTCAAGTGCCTCTTGAGAAGAGACCCATGTTTCCATAGTGTCATCAGAAGGATTGGCAATAAAAACAACTTCCAAGCAACACACCAGCTGCGTATCCTGTACTTTTTGAAGAACTGAACATTCATGACCTTTTTAATAGCAGTAATTTTTGAAAGGAAGATCCCCCTCAGAAATGCTTTAAAGGTTATCAATTCATGGCTAAATTTGAGTGATCAGCATGGTTATGCCACAATATAAATATCTGGGCTTCTGCCAATTCATGAGAGAGGAAGAGGTACATCCAAAATGCGTTCAGTTTCTCAGTAAATCAGTAGGGGGCTTAACATTTAGATGAAGAAGTAATGGGGACTGGTCAAAAATGCCTCTAGGGGTATAGAAAATTTCATGAATCAGGTTTATGGTAGGAGATGTACATAGGAAAAGATCAATCCAAGAAAAAGACTGATGTGCTTTGGAGAAGCAAGATAATTGCTCCTGCATAGGGTGTTTACTGTGCCATGGGTCAATCTATCCCACCTCCTCAGTAAGTCTGAGTAACACCGTGCAGCATCATCCACTCCCAACTGGAGCTGGAGGATGTTTATCTAAGACTACCAGGACTATCAAGATAGCAATTTAGGTCCCCTATAAGAAATATTGAAACTTCAGGGTGGCTCAGCTAGTATGTAGTGATGAACACTCCCTTGTTCCATTCATGGTTGAACATTTGAACCTAACAAAAGTTTGAACGCGAACTTTGAACTTAATGCAAGTCTATGGAACTCAAACTTGTAAATTCAAAAGTGCCCATTTTGAAGGCTTATATGCAAGTTATTAGCCATAAAAGGGGTATGGGGACTCGGTACTGTACTAGGGGACATGAATCAGTGAAAAAAAAGTTTAAAAAGTATTGTTTTTAAAGGGGCAGCCATTTTTCATAGCTTAAAGTAAAAAAAGAAAAAAAAATCCTTGAAATATCATGCTGGGGGGGGGGGGTCCCCTTAAACTACCTGCAAGATTGCACATCTGTACAATATATAGTACCTGCTGCAGGACTGATATTTTTTTTTTTCTTAAATTACATTTTTATATTATTAAAAAAAACAGTGTGGGTTCCCCCCCTAATTTATACCAGACCCTTGGGGACCTGGTAGGACTTTTAAGGGGAACCCCACCTCCCAAAAATGGGGGGGGAAAGTTTGTGGGGTTCCCTCTAAAAACCATGCCAGGCATTTTACAACTGGTAGGGCTTTTAAGGGGAGCCCTATCCCCCCAAAAAATGAGGGGAAGCATGGGGTCCCCCCTAAATTCCAACCAGACCCTTGATCTGAGCACTGGCAGGCCAGGAAATGAGGGGGCCCAGATCCAAGCCCCCCCTTGTGAATGAGTATGGGGTACTACCCATTCACCAAAAAAAAAAAAAAGTGTAATATGTGAATAAAAACACAATAGTTTTTGACAAGTCCTTTATTAAAAAAAAGCCAAAAAAAATGGTTCCATTGTTGTAATCTATCATCAATCATGGCGACCAGTGTTGTTGTGACTCACCAAAATAAAAAAATCCCCAATGCTCGCCGACCTGTTCACACCCGCCGAGCAATCGCCATTATCTGACAATAAATTTGTTGGTCAGATGTAAACAATTGGGCGGACATCATCGCTAGCTCCGCCCAATTGTGCTGTGATTGCCCAAAGCAATGCACTTAATCTGTGGTCAGATACATTGCTTTGGCCTATCACAATGCACTGCAGTGCATTGTGGGGTCGCGGCAGGTGAACAGCTCGCCGAATGCCTTTACCGTTCGTGTGTTTGCCAAACATCAAGGACATCACTACTGGTATGTCAAAAGCATTAGCAAAATAGCAAATGGAAGTGAAATATAGATGAAAGCAAGAGTGCATTTTAGTTTACATAAACAGCATGTCAGGAACAGATATCTGTCATCAGTGTCAATCAGCTTATCAATTTCCTGAAAATCCTGGGCACGGTGTACCAAAACACTCACCCCACATCAGTAAGAGGTGTGGGTGCAGTGATACACCCAACCTATCCAAGAAAAAAATTAACAATACATTGTTAGATGGGTTTCTTGAAGGGCACATGTTGCTGGTAAATGTTTGTGGAAGGCAGAAGAGACCATGGTGCGTTTTAGTGGATTTTGAATCCCTCTAATGTTCCAAGATAAAATAAGCATTGTGGTCATCTTGATATAACAGGGTATTAAATACTTTCTGATGGTGTTTCAGATTGCTGTGAAAATACTGGACCTGCAGCTATCTGGTGAGTGCTTGAATATGAGCAGTGTTTATGTAGCAATGTACTTGAGCTGGTTGTAGAGGGACTCGAATGAGACCTCACCAACCAATGAGATGCAGAATGTGGAGCTCTGGAACAACATTGATAAAAAACAGGAAAAAAAAGATGCCAATAATATCATCTGGTCTAATGCAAGACCATGCTGAATGTGGGGTCCATTGTTGAGCCCAGACTGCACAAAATCTGGATGATGCAAAAAAAAGGTAACAAAAGAAAACAGAAGAAAAGTCCGTATATAGCAATGGAGGACAACGGCTCTCTCCTACCACAAAGTCTGCAGTTGAATCCAAACAGGACTTGGAAGTATCATATCTATAATTTTACAAAAAGACAATGTGTATTCGCTCGTTCTCTGTAGGAAAAAGGTTATATTTAGAGATGAGCGAAGAAATGAAAAATTCGATTCGACTGATTCGGCGAATTCGTGGACAATATTCGATTCGAGTCGAATAAATTCGCTGTGAATTTAACTTAAAAAAGGGTGTTTCTAGGCTTCAGAGAGACTTAATATTAGTGCAGAACACTGTACCTTTAATTTAAATGCCCTTGGAGTCTGCTGGGGAAGAGAAATAATACTGTCAGTCAGTATGACATGCAGATGAGTGCCGTCGATCTTAGAATCACCGCAAACTTCACTCATTTGGGCAGTCACGGGGCCAAAACCAGAGTGTGGAGCCACAGTGTGGCGGTGGAGGCAGCAGCAATGGGAGGCCATACAGCACCCTATGACAAAAATGGAAACCACCAGCAGTGTGAGGAGACCTGAAAGTGGCACATGGCAGAGTGTGGCGCGATAGAGACAGCAGCAATGGGAGGCCGTACAGGGACCCATGACACACTCTGGACCTGGCAGCAGCATGAGGAGGCAGTACAGGGGCCCATGACAGATTACGGGCCTGGCAGCAGCATGAGGAGTCGGTACGGGGGCCCATGGCAGATTACGGGCCTGGCAGCAGCAATGGGAGGCCGTACAGGGACCCATGACACACTCTGGACCTGGCAGAGGCATGGGGAGGCGGTACAGGGGCCATGACAGATTACGGGCCTGGCAGCAGCATGAGGAGTCGGTACAGGGGCCCATGCCAAAACAAAATTGACACACTCTGGACCTGGCAGCAGCATGAGGAGGCGGTATAGGGGCGCATGACAGATTACGAGCCTGGCAGCAGCAACTTGGACAGGAGGACGTTCAGCTTCTGCACCGTCGGGTGCGTGCTCGCAAACTGTTGTCTCTTGGAAACGGATTCCAAGAAAGACTGCTGACGGAATCCATGAAGAGGAGTAGCAGGAGAAGGAGCATCTGAACGAGCGGGAATATGCCAACAAGCGACAACAGGGGCCCATGACAGATTACGGGCCTGGCAGCAGCATGAGGAGTCGGTACGGGGGCCCATGGCAGATTAGGGGCCTGGCAGCAGCTATGGGAGGCCCGTAATCTGCCAGCACCCTATGACAAAAAATGGAACCCACCAGCAGTGTGAGGAGACCTGAAAGTGGCACATGGCAGAGTGTGGCGATGGAGACAGCAGCAATGGGAGGCCGTATAGGGACCCATGAGAGACTCTGGACTTGGCAGCAGCATGAGGAGGTGGTATATAGGGGCCCATGGCAGATTAGGGGCCTGGCAGCAGCTATGGGAGGCCCGTAATCTGCCAGCACCCTATGACAAAAAATGGAACACAGCAGCAGTGTGAGGAGACCTGAAAGTGGCACATGGCAGAGTGTGGCGATGGAGACAGCAGCAATGGGAGGCCGTACAGGGACCCATGAGAGACTCTGGACTTGGCAGCAGCATGAGGAGGCGGTATAGGGGCCCATGGCAGATTAGGGGCCTGGCAGCAGCTATGGGAGGCCCGTAATCTGCCAGCACCCTATGACAAAAAATGGAACACACCAGCAGTGTGAGGAGACCTGAAAGTGGCACATGTTTGGGGCATGATTCATGGCGGATTTAGTCAGTTGTGTCAGGAACTGGTGGTTTGAAATCCAGACTAATCCACGCCTGATTCATTTTCACAAACGTGAGTCTCTCCACACTTTGGGTGGACAGTCGTGTCCTCCGCGGAGTTGCAATACCTCCTGCCGCACTAAACACGCGCTCCGATGCCACGCTACTGGCCGGGCATGACAGCCTTTCAAGGGCAAATTCAGCTAGTTGGGGCCAAAGGTCAAGTTTCGTTGCCCAGTAGTCAAGGGGATTGTCTACCTCGGTTGGCAGGGTGCTGTCCAAGTAGGCCTAAGCCTGTTGTTTGAGGTCCTGCTCCAGGTCCACCTGATGCTGCTGCTGCTGCTGCTGCGGCTGGTTAGTAGTTTCCTCACTGCGCTGGTGAAGAAAGCTACTCATCATCGACTGCAGACTGAGGCAGCCGCTGCTGGTGGAGCTGCCACTGCTCCTACCACCCCACCCCTCCCCTGCTGCCATGGCAGCGGAACGCGAGCGCACAGGGCCCACAGTGTCTGAGGATGGACGTTGGCGCAGACAGGCAGAGACCAGCTGACTACATAGGTGGTTTTTATAGTACGTTATTTTGGCCTCCCTCTCAGCAGGTGTGAAAAAGGCCACCATTTTTGAACGGTAGCGAGGGTCCAACAAGGTGGACAGCCAAAAGTCATCCCTCTGTCTGATGGTTATTATTCGGCTGTCGCTACGCAAGCAACCGAGCATGCTATGGGCCATTTGTGCCAAGGAATGCGAGGGACTCCCTGCCTCCATCTCCACAGCATACTGCCACGGTGCGTCTGGGTCCTCTGTCTCCTCTTCCTCCTCCTCTACCAGATGCTCCTGCTCCTCCACTCCTGTCCGCTGAGTGGAAAAACCACCCATTTCACTCAATAATTCCTGAGCACCAATGTCCTCCTCTACCTCCTCCTCTTCTTCCTGTCCTGCCCCCACAGGGGTCATGTGGCGTTGAGATCTGTGCGCCACGTCTACCGCACCCTGACCAGCCATTGTTAACAGCATTTGTTCCAGGACATGCAACAGAGGAATGACGTCGTTCATCCCATAGTCCTGCCGACTCACGAATAGCGTGGCCTCCTCAAAGGGCCTGAGCAAGCGCAGGTGTCACGCATGAGCTGCCAATGGCTGACATCTAAGTTACACAGGGAGTACCTTTATCCGCTTTTAACATCAGGAAATCTGTGATGGCCTTTTGCTGTTCGTAAAGGCGGTCTAACATATGTAGGGTTGAATTCCACCTTGTTGCAACGTCACAGCATGAGGAGTCGGTATAGGGGCCCATGGCAGATTAGGGGCCTGGCAGCAGCTATGGGAGGCCCGTAATCTGCCAGCACCCTATGTCAAAAAATTCAACACACCAGCAGTGTGAGGAGACCTGAAAGTGGCACATGGCATGAGAGTGGTGGACCTGGAGACAGCAGCAATGAGGAGGCGGTACAGGGGCCCATGACAGACTCTGGACTTGGCAGCAGCATGAGGAGGCGGTATATAGGGGCCTATGGCAGATTAGGGGCCTGGCAGCAGCTATAGGAGGCCCGTAATCTGCCAGCACCCTATGTCAAAAAATTCAACACACCAGCAGTGTGTGAGGAGACCTGAAAGTGGCACATGGCAGAGTGTGGCGATGGAGACAGCAGCAATGGGAGGCCGTACAGGGACCCATGACAGACTCTGGACTTGGCAGCAGCATGAGGAGGCGGTATATAGGGGCCCATGGCAGATTAGGGGCCTGGCAGCAGCTATAGGAGGCCCGTAATCTGCCAGCACCCTATGTCAAAAAATTCAACACACCAGCAGTGTGTGAGGAGACCTGAAAGTGGCACATGGCAGAGTGTGGCGATGGAGACAGCAGCAATGGGAGGCCGTACAGGGACCCATGAGAGACTCTGGACCTGGCAGCAGCATGAGGAGGCGGTATATAGGGGCCCATGGCAGATTAGGGGCCTGGCAGCAGCTATAGGAGGCCCGTAATCTGCCAGCACCCTATGTCAAAAAATTCTAACACACACCAGCAGTGTGTGAGGAGACCTGAAAGTGGCACATGGCAGAGTGTGGCGATGGAGACAGCAGCAATGGGGGCCGTAATAGGGACCCATGAGAGACTCTGGACTTGGCAGCAGCATGAGGAGGAGGAGGCGGTATATAGGGGCCCATGGCAGATTAGGGGCCTGGCAGCAGCTATGGGAGGCCCGTAATCTGCCAGCACCCTATGTCAAAAAATTCTACACACCAGCAGTGTGTGAGGAGACCTGAAAGTGGCACATGGCAGAGTGTGGCGATGGAGACAGCAGCAATGGGAGGCCGTACAGGGACCCATGAGAGACTGGACCTGGCAGCAGCATGAGGAGGCGGTATATAGGGGCCCATGGCAGATTAGGGGCCTGGCAGCAGCTATAGGAGGCCCGTAATCTGCCAGCACCCTATGTCAAAAAATTCTACACACCAGCAGTGTGTGAGGAGACCTGAAAGTGGCACATGGCAGAGTGTGGCGATGGAGACAGCAGCAATGGGAGGCCGTGTAGGGCCATGAGAGACTCTGGACTTGGCAGCAGCATGAGGAGGCGGTATATAGGGGCCCATGGCAGATTAGGGGCCTGGCAGCAGCTATGGGAGGCCCGTAATCTGCCAGCACCCTATGTCAAAAATTGAAAACACAAGCAGTGTGAAGAGACCTGAATGTGGCACATGGCAGAGTGTGGCGATGGAGACAGCAGCAATGGGAGGCCGTACAGGGACCCATGAGAGACTCTGGACCTGGCAGCAGCATGAGGAGGCGGTATATAGGGGCCCATGGCAGATTAGGGGCCTGGCAGCAGCTATAGGAGGCCCGTAATCTGCCAGCACCCTATGTCAAAAAATTCTACACACCAGCAGTGTGTGAGGAGACCTGAAAGTGGCACATGGCAGAGTGTGGCGATGGAGACAGCAGCAATGGGAGGCCGTACAGGGACCCATGAGAGACTCTGGACCTGGCAGCAGCATGATGAGGCGGTATATAGGGGCCCATGGCAGATTAGGGGCCTGGCAGCAGCTATAGGAGGCCCGTAATCTGCCAGCACCCTATGTCAAAAATTTTTACACACCAGCAGTGTGAGGAGACCTGAAAGTGGCACATGGCAGAGTGTGGCGATGGAGACAGCAGCAATGGGAGGCCGTACAGGGACCCATGAGAGACTCTGGACTTGGCAGCAGCATGAGGAGGCGGTATATAGGGGCCCATGGCAGATTAGGGGCCTGGCAGCAGCTATGGGAGGCCCGTAATCTGCCAGCACCCTATGACAAAAAATGGAACACACCAGCAGTGTGTGAGGAGACCTGAAAGTGGCACATGTTTGAGGCATGATTCATGGCGGATTTAGTCAGTTGTGTCAGGAACTGGTGGTTTGAAATCCAGACTAATCCACGCCTGATTCATTTTCACAAACGTGAGTCTCTCCACACTTTGGGTGGACAGTCGTGTCCTCCGCGGAGTTACAATACCTCCTGCCGCACTAAACACGCGCTCCGATGCCACGCTACTGGCCGGGCATGACAGCCTTTCAAGGGCAAATTCAGCTAGTTGGGGCCAAAGGTCAAGTTTCGTTGCCCAGTAGTCAAGGGTATTGTCTACCTCGGTTGGAGGGTGCTGTCCAAGTAGGCCCCAAGCCTGTTGTTTGAGGTCCTGCTCCAGGTCCACCTGATGCTGCTGCTGCTGCGGCTGGTTAGTAGTTTCCTCACTGCGCTGGTGAAGAAAGCTACTCATCATCGACTGCAGACTGAGGCAGCCGCTGCTGGTGGAGGAAGCTGCCACTGCTCCTACCACCCCCACCCCTCCCCTGCTGCCATGGCAGCGGAACGCGAGCGCACAGGGCCCACAGTGTCTGAGGATGGACATTGGCGCAGAAAGGCAGAGACCAACTGACTACATACAGTTGCAAGAAAAAGTATGTGAACCCCTTGGGATTACGTGGAGTTTTGCATGAATTGGGCATAAAAATGTGCTCTGAAACGTCATCTAAGTCACAACAATAGAAGACCACAGTCTGCTGAACATAATACTACACAAACATTAGATGTTGCCATGGTTTAAATTGCACATAACATGTAAATATTCACAGTGCAGGGAGGAAAAAGTATGTGAACCTTTGGACTTAATAACTGGTTGACCCTCCTTTGGCAGCAATAACCTCAACCAAACGTTTCCTGTAGTTGCAGATCAGACCTGCACAACGATCTGGAGTAATTTTGGACCACTCCTCTTCATAAAACTGTTTCAGTGTCGCAATATTCTTGGGATGTCTGGTGTGAATCGCTCTCTTAAGGTCATGCCACAGCATTTCAATCGGGTTGAGGTCAGGACTCTGACTGAGCCACTCCAGAAGGCGTATTCTGTGCTGTTGCAGCCATTGTTTTGTTGAATTACTTGTATGCTTTGGGTCATTGTTCTGTTGCATCACCCATCCTCTGCGTAGCTTCAGTTGGCGGACAGATGGTCGTACATTTTCCTGCAAAATGTCTTGATAAACTCTGGAATTCATTTTCCCATCAATGACAACAATCCGTCCAGGCCCTGAGGCAGCAAAGCAGCCCCAAACCATGATGCTCCCTCCGCCATGTTTTACAGTGGGGATGAGGTTTTGATGTTGGTGTGCTGTGCCTTTTTTTCTCCACACATAGTGTTGTGTGTTCTTCCCAAACAACTCAATCTTGGTTTCATCTGTCTACAGTATATTTTGCCAGTAGTGCTGTGGAACATCCAGGTGCTCTTTTGCAAACTTCAAACGTGCCGCAATATTCTTTTTGGACAGCAATGGCTTCCTCCGTGGTGTCCTCCCATGTACTCCATTCTTGTTTAATGTTTTCCTTATTGTAGATGTGTCAACAAAAATGTTAGCTTGGGCCAGAGATTTCTGTAGGTCTTTAGCTGACAATCTGGGATTCTTCTTTACCTTATGCAGCATTCTGCGCTGTGCTCTTGCAGTCAT